AGGCATGGTAGGCTGCTCCCACCAGCCCCTCAAACAAGCCCCTGGGCAAGAGGATGTGGAAATGGCACTGGTGACTGAGGAAGGTATTGTTGGTCTTGTTGTTGATATCCAAGACCAGGATCCAGGTCCTTGGGTTTTACTGCTAAACTCACTGTTACAGGGAGGGTGGAGATGCATAGGTAGCCTTAGCACTGAATAGGCACAGAACAGATAAACCTGGTGAAAAGAACAATGTCTAGGGAAAGCCTGCCTGCACCAGGGTTCCTGTCTGGATCCACAGGGGAGATATTAGTGGGAGATGTGATACCAAAAGCCCTTCAAGCCTGGTAGGCATCTTCTGCCTGGATATGACCACACCAAGGGCTTCCTTATCTCCCCACATCCCAAGACCCATTTCTACTCCCTTCCAGAACCAACACTTTTCTGTACGTAAAATCCTCTTCTATCTTCCCACCTCCCTTTCAAGGTGAACTGAACTCTGAGAGATCCATTTTATTCAGTTCTGTACGTATGTTGACATTAGCCCAAGCCTTAGCACATATCACTTTGTGGTAAACAAAATGTCCTACAACACACACACACACACACACACACACACACACACACACACAGCCACGCATGATGCACAAAGGTAAGTATGAGAGGGACCAGTATTCAACTGCTTTGGAAATTTTAGTTCTGAATTATGTGTAGACTATTTAATCACAGATAGCCCACACCAGGGACCTAGAAATACAGCTAGAAAGTTCAATAGTGAAGAACAATTAGATGGCAGAGAATTGATTTTTCTCACCTTACCCATCTGCTTCCCCAGAGGATACACTGACTGGTTATTCTGCAGCACAAAATGAAATGATACTAGAAATCAGAACAGATGATTATACTTACAAACCTCTGCCATTACTGGCTACAATAGCCGAGAAAACTCTTCCTCCCCACCTTGCCCTTTCATTTCAATCTTCCTCTTGAAGTTCATTATTTTGGCACAAATTTCTAGTATTTGTAGTAAAGGGATTCAGGTGCAAAGATTTCTAAACAGTGTTAAGACAAAGAAAGTGGAGGAAAATTACAGCACTATTATTCAAACTGCAAAGCCATTTGGATTGTTTATTGTTTGCAAAATGATTTGGCAATAGTCAGTGCTCATCAAGCACATACTACCAGTGCTGGTGCTAAGTGATTTTATTTAGATCCCTGCCATTTACTATTTACAACACACCAGGGAAAAAGTACTATTAGTATCTTTTTTGTTTTTTTTTTATGGTCTTGCTATTTCAGGCAAGTCTCAAACTCTCCATTTCCTTCCTCAGTCTCCTAGGTACTAGGATTTTAGGCCTGCACCATCATGCCCAGCTGGATAATAACACTCCAGCTATTATCATTATCAAAAACAAGATGTGATTTTTTTTTGAGACAGGGTTTCTCTTTTACTTTGGAGCCTGTCCTGGAACTTGCTCTGTAGGTCAGGCTGGCCTCAAACTCACAGAGATTTGCCTGCTTCTGCCTCCCCAGTGTGCTGGGATTAAAGTCCTGTGCCACTGCCTTTTTTTTAATTTTATTTATTTATTATGTATACAGTCTTCTGCCTGCAGGCCAGCAGATGGTACCAGCTGTCATTCAAGGTGGTTGTGAGCCACCATGTGGTTCTGGGAATTGAACTCAGGACCTCTGGAAGAGTAGTCAGTGCTCTTAACTGCTGAACCATCTCTCCAGCCCCAACAAGATGTGATTTAAACCGACCTATTTATTTTTATTTATTTTTTTTCTTTTTTGGGTTTTTCAAGACAGGGTTTCTCTGTGGCTTTGGAGACTGTCCTGGAACTAGCTCCTGTAGACCAGGCTGGTCTCAATCTCACAGAGATAATGCCTGCCTCTGCCTCCCAAGTGCTGGGATTAAAGGCGTGCACCACCACTGCCTGGCCCTTATTTCTTTCAGAGAAATTGGCATATATCTCTTGATGGTTTTCCTTCAAGTCAGTGGTCATAAAATTCAAATAGCTTCTCAGCCTGGCCTGCCAACCCACTGTTGGGGGAGATGTGACCAGTTCTTCATGGCATGTTCCACATGTTCTCTCATCCCAAATGTCCCCATTCTTGTCCCTCACTCTCCTCTTAGCTGATGACTTTGCTTTAAAAATATTGCTAAATTGGAATCTCTGTCATTCTTGAGACTGTGGATTTGATCCTCAACAATGTCAAAAAGGAAAGTGAAAAGAAAAATGTGAACGGACTGAGGAATCTCAGTGAAGTGTGTGGTGCAGAAGAATAGGTACCTGGCTATGATCCCAGCACCCATGTTAAAAACAAAAAATGGGTAGGGTCTATGCTTGCAAGCCCAGGCCCGGGGCAGTGGAGACAGGATTCCTGGGGCTGGTTGGCCAGTCAGGCTAGCCAAGTTGGCAAGTTACAGCTTTAGTGAGAGCCCTGGGTGGAGAGTGACTAAGGAAAGCATTTGGCATCAACTTTGGGCCTGTATATGTGCACTCACACATCCAAAATAACATCAAGAAGAGTCCTTCCTAATTTTCCTCCTCATCTACACTCACTTTTATAGGCACCTATTGCCTTTGCTTTGTCTTCTAACATAGAATGTCTCTGCTTTGACTCAGGGCACCATTTTCTCATGCACTTCCAAGTCCCTATCCTCATTCTACCACAAGGAATTTGCCCCTACAGTGGCCTTTTTGCTCTTTATCTTTTCTTCCCCTCCTACCCCCTCCCCCGTTTGGATCATTTTCATTAGAACATATTCTATATTTCTCTTTTTTTTTTTCTTCTTGTTTTTTTGAGACAGGGTTTCTCTGTGTAGCACTGGCTGTCCAGAAACTCACTCTGTAGATCAGGTTGGCCTCAAACTCAGAGACCTGCCCGCTTTTGCCTCTCAAATGCTGGGACTAAAGGTGTGCATCATCATCACCAGGCCATTTATCTCACTTAAAAAATACATAAAGGAAGAAAGAGGCATAGAGTTGTAGCTTTGTGGTTGAGTACTTGTCGAGCATGTGCATGACACTGGGCTTGATCCCAACACTTGATTACAAAAATCAAACAAAATTTCACATTCTTTTATGGCTGTATTTTTCTTCTTCCTGGTCTTCATAAATTTCCCCAAATATGTCTTTTTCCCCCCTATCTCCAACTTAATTTTCAATGATCCTAATATTTTTATCAACCTGCTGTCTGCAAGGCCAATATGGTTCCTGAAATGAACTTTTCTCATCATATTCTTCATTTTCTCAGTGACACTGACAGTTACTTGCTTTCCTTCCCTAAATCTCTCATCTTCTGCCTTTCATGACACCAGCACTTACTGGTTTTTCTTTTCCTCCTTCATCTCCCATTTACAGACCTGACTTTTATATATTTAGAAGTTTCTCTGGGACTAGTCCTGAGCTTTCTACTTCTTGGTATTTTCTTTGGCAGTCTTACCCATTTTTATGGTTGTAGATGGTCCCAAATGTAACTATGGTTCAACTTAGGATTTTTGACTTTATGTTGGTAAAAAAGTAAACTTACATTCGGTAGACACTCACATTTTGAATTTTTTTCCCCTGAAGATAGCAAACTTTAGCTTGGATGCTAGGCAGCTGCAATTCCCAGTTGCTAACGTTTAAGTGCTCATGAGAGTTAATAACTAATACTCTAAGAATATTGTGCTGCTGAGTTAGAATGTTTAGCAGGGTAGGTAGGTGAAATATTCCCAATTTCTGTTGAACTTAACACAGGTTTGAAGAGGATGCAACCATGCTGTATATGGAGCAGCATTCATGATTAGTTGAATAAATTTTCATCTCTTGGGCAGAATTCCTTCCTGTGTTTCAGCTGTCCTCTTAATTATATCTAGCTGGGTAAGTCAGGCTTTAGTGTATTAAAATACTATGATTTAGTGCTGGGGAGCAAACCCAGAATTGTCTGCATGCTAAACAAATGCTCTACCACTGAGCTGTATCTTAGCTCTTCTCTTTTGATCCCTGTTTTTACAAGGTTTCATAATAACACCTGTTAACAAGATACTGGTTGACTTGGTTAGGATGAGAACTTGTCCATTAATATAGGGGTAAATCTTTTCTTCCTTCCTTCCTTCCTTCCTGCCTTCCCCCCTTCCTTCCTGCCTTCCTTCCTTCCTTCCTTCCTTCCTTCCTTCCTTCCTTCCTTCGGAGACAGGGTTTCTCTGTGTAGCTTTGGAGCCTATCCTGGCACTTGCTTGGAGACCAGGCTGGCCTCGAACTCTCAGAGATCCACCTATCTCTGCCTCCGGGGTGCTGGGATTAAAGGCGTGCGCCACCAACGCCCAGCCGGTAAATCTTTTCTTTTTCCTTCCTTTTCTTAAAAGTCCTTAAAAATAGGCCGGGCGTTGGTGGGCCCGGGTAGGCTCCAAAACTGACAAAAAAAAACCCCGTCCCAAAAAACAAAAAAAAAAAAAAAAAAAAAAGTCCTTAAAAATGTTTACTTCATGTGTACTTGAATGTATAGATGTGCAATGCAGAGGCCAGAAGAGGGTGTCAGAGGCCCTGGAACTGGAGGTGTGAGCCACCGCGTGACTGAACCCAGATCAAGTGATTCTAACTGATGAGCAACCTCTCCAGCTCTCTTTTTTTGTGTTTTAAAGTGGGATCCTGAATTGGAATCCAGGGCTTCAGGCAACGTAAGGCAACACTCTAAGCTATATCCCCAGGCCCAAGAAATAAATACTTTGTTTTGACATAGGATTTTGCTATGTGTGCGGGGCTGGCCCCGAACTTGTGTCAATCCTCCTGTTGCGCTGGTATTACAGATGAGAAGCACACCAGATCTGGAGCAGGATCAAACAGTGAGACAAAATAAGAAAAGGAAAGAGAAGAAATGTAAGTTGTCCTCACTTGTGTGGTGCCATACCAAAAAAAAAAAAAAATCTCTTATCAATAGTACAGAACGGAGTATTCATCTTTCTCTACTTTGGTACCCTTTATGTGATTGACTTAGTGGTTGTTCTGAACAAGAAAAAAATTTAACACAGGAAGTGCATAATTTGAAAGAGAATTTACTTAACAATAACAAAAGAAAAGACAAATCAAAGTAAAGTAATCAAACAAAAGTAAAGAAAAAAAGAAAAGACAAATCAAATGGGCAAAGGCTGAATAAAAAGGAGCCTAGACATCTCAAGTAGTTGGGTTGGTAGCAGATCATTGCGTGGGCGTGAACACTGATGAGGCTCCTCTTGTAAAGCAAGAATCCAGGCTTGTTTTGCACCTTTGCTCCCCTGGCTACGGGCCAGCCAGAGCGGAACCATATGCACATCCTGGCAGATTCACAATTTCAACAAAAATCGGAGGTCAGACGCACAATTGCATCCACCTAGGAAAACAGTAGGTCGAGCAGCTGACAGCGCATTGCAAAGTCTATTTGGTTCAAGTTAGTAACCCCATCCCTTTAAAAGACGGGGATTTCATTCCACTGTAAAAATTAAAATGCTTACAATAGAGGGCTTTCCAGAAGAATCATATGGGAAAAGTTTTGATTGCTCTCCATTCTAGTTGTTTTTCAGGTCCAACACCCGAAACTGATTCTGGAAAGTCCCCCACGAGACTTTCGGTCTAGTATTATTCCTAAGCAACCTCTACCTTCTTCACCAGCCATATTCTTTTGTTGCTTCTTTCAGTTTCTTAAAACTTCAATTCTTCGGTATTAGTCCAATCAAACTTTGCCTCCTTGAACCTCTCTCTCCCTTACGTTCGCACCAGGAAACTCCTCCGAGAGTCAAATGACCAAACTTGTCCTCGATAGCGCTCCGTAATTCTACTATCCCACCACTCTTCTTCGCCTCCTCTAGTCCCGCCCCGCCTCATTCCGGCTCCCCCTCTCCCCGCACCGCCGGGGAAGTGTTTGCGCCTGCGCATCTCCAATTCAGGCACTTTCCCTTTCCTGACGACCAATCCACTTCCCGCCCCCGGTCCTTGGAACACTCCTCCCTCCGCTGAGGCCCTGGTTGGAGGCGCTGGGAGCAGTTGCCCTATATATTGCCTGTATAAAAAAATCCACAGATAGGGGAATTTGAACGAGTCGCTGAAGCGGATGGCATATACTTCAGATTTGGCATATATAGATCACTTCAGAGACAAAATGAGGGTCTCAACCCGGAGCGAGGACTGGCGACGTGGGTCAGTTTTGATTGGGCAATACTGAGGGCAGCCATCTCCTTTTCCCCACCCTCCGCCCCGCCCCCCTGGCAGCGGGACCGCGTTGGTGAGTGGCGGGCGGGAGGGCCGACGGGCGGAGTGAGGAGGGGGAGCTGAGGGAAGGCGGGCCCTCGGCTGCGAGATAGGTGGGGGGAGGGGAGGGGAGAGCCCGAGCGCTGGAGTTGGTGCTGGGAAACCCGGGGCTAATGTTGACAACAGGCTCTAGGTGAGTCCCAGGGAGCCTCCTTCCCCTCCGCTCCAACGATGGGGAAGATCTGGCGCTGAGGGGGACCGGCCTGGACTCCTACTCCCCGAGGGACCGGAGAGGCGACTCCGCACTCCAGCTCTCCGGGGGCGGCGAGCAGTGGAGGGACGAGCGGGTCGGACGTCGTTCTCCTCAGACCCCTCTCCCGGAGGGGCTGGCCAATGTGGGGGATCTCTCGGCCGGGCCGGGCCGAGGCTGGCGTGAGGGGCGGCAGAAGAGATGCCTGCCCCACATGCCTGGGCCGGGCCTCGGGGCTGGAGGCGGGGGAGCCTGCTGTGGAGGGGGAAGGTTTTCGGGGGCGTGGAGGAGTGCGAGAAGAGGCTGGGGCGAGCTCCGGACTCCGGAGGGAGGGAAGCGTGGACGAGGAAGTGGGGCGATGTAGAGTAACCAGACGAGCCCGAGAGAGAGGCTTCGGTGCTGAGGGATTGTGGGGCTGGAAGTTAGGGTTAGGGCTAGGATGATACCCCCAAGGAGTGGGAGTTGTGGCCGGCAACTGTGTCTGTGGTGGGACACTGAGCCACAGCGGGGGTTTGTGGGAGATGCCTGTGCAGGGAAGAGGCTTGGGGTGGACCTGCGGATGGTGGCACTGGGGCTGTTTGGATTTACTTCCTTTTAATCAGGTAGGCTGGTTGATTCTCCCCCTCTTCCCCAAGACTTTCAGTACTTTCTTAGTAGTACTGTTGAGCGAAGGAGGCGATCACATGATGTGAGATCTGGTGAGTCAAGCAGAGGCCCCTTACAGGTTTGGGGGTACGCATAGTAGCGACTAGTCCTGCTGTCTTAAATGAGGTGACTGACACGTTAGACGAAAGTAAGACTGTCACTGACCCTTCTCATTTGTCATAGTTTTTAGGTGGTCATAAAAGTCGTACAGATCATCAGGAAAGCCATTTTTGAGCTGTGGTGAAATTTCTGAAAATTTTGAATGAGTCTCACATATATAAGGACTTTGTAAAAGAATAAAGTCAGAGACTGGAAGATATCTCTGTGCTGATACCTTTAGAACACTTTGAGTTCAAAACACAGACTTGAAAGGTAAACCAGCATTCTCTTACTCTGTAGTATTTTCAGAACAGTCTAATTGTGATTTCATACTTAGACCATATGGTACTTAGTGAAGTTATAGCTTTATTAGGGAAACACCTCCGTTCCCTGTCCTCTCTAGCATACTGCACTGAAATCTGTTTTACTAGTAAAGTAGTTTTTACTTTCTTTTAGAGGTTTAGAATATATCTAGAAAACCAAATAAAATAATACATACCAAGTGTCAGGACACTATTTTGGGAGCTAGAAAGGTGGGTTTGAACCATACTTTACTTTTAAGGGCTGTCTGAATAAAATTGTATTCAGCAAAGTAGTTTGTAAGGGTTCCTCATATTTCAATTTCAAGACCACTAACTTCTATATTCTTTACTTTCATATAGTGTTACATGGGAAATTTGGAAATACCTTATGTGAATTACTTAGCTGTTGTTAGAGTTATTAAAGTAAGTAAGGATTTAGCGTTTTATTAAATATGAGCTCAGTTTAATTTTTTATTTTTCAATTTAAGTTTTTAAAATTGGCAAGATACAAATGAGTACTTATCAGATTCATGTTTGTTTTCTAGTTTATTTGATTTTTAAACTCCTTTGAATCTGAATGTAGCGGAAAAGAGAGAGAACTGGGTAGCCACTACAGCAGTTGGTAAATCTTGGGCAGATCACACTGCCTTTGACACTCAGTGTAAAAGCTGAAGTTTGGAGTGGGTAAAATCTGACAGTCCTTCCTTCAGTGTTAGGTGTGAAAGAGAATTCACATTTATTCAATGGCTTTATGGTAGCCACTGTGCTATAAGTTTAGTAACTCTTTAAGATAAGTAGCAGTAGCTCCATTTTATTGATGAATAATTAGTATAAACAGAATAGTTAACTTGCCTGATTTCCATAGCTGGTAAGGTACAGAGTTGGGATGCAAACCTGAACTCTGACTTGAAAATGGTTCTGTTTTTACAAGTTGCATTGTTGCCTGCACTTTTTCTTACAAATTTATTAGTTGAAATTTAGTTCTGACACCAAGACTTACAGATCTAGTGGGAATTTGTTTTATCATCTTCTGAAACAGGATTTGTCTCAGTTTCTCATTGACTATTGCCATCTATTAGTGTAGTAGTTATTTCCATTTAAATGACGATTGGAAAGTTATGAATGTTTGGGACCCTTTTGAGCTTGTAAATGATGACCTTTCATGGGTTTGTCAGATAAAAAGTGAGTTTGTTGATGCTTTAGAAGAATTTAAGATTTAATTTGTAAGCAACACCTTAGCTGTAAATTCTGATGTTCTTATTTTTGTTGCTTGAGAATTCTATATTCTTGTAATCCTTGAAATATCTTGTTTATACTTCAAATCACAAAATCCATATTTCATAAAATTTTGTTGTATTTAATGATTAATACCCTTAAGTAAAATTGTGTAATTACCTTAGACATTATGTTGTCTCTGTACTTTCAGGCAGAGTGTGCTAATAAGTTAAAACCTGTATGTAGCAAGTGCTTAGCCATTATCAGAGACCTCTACTGAGATTCACAATTCTATGATTTGTCATAGTCAGGTGTCTGTGATCAAGTCTTCCATTTCACAGTGTGGTACTCTCAGGATTCTTAACTTTGGTTAAGACTGTGGGTTCACATTCCAGTTCTATCACCAGCTGTGGAGGCCTTGGTCAAGTTACTTGGTTAAGTCTCAATTTACTCATTTATAAAATAGGGAAAACAATACCCACCTCATAAAGATTTTAGTATTAAGTGAGAATTTACATAAAATGTTTAGTATTTAGTTTGGTGGTATACTGTTTGAAAGTTAATTTTAGAGTGTGACATTTTCACATTAAAGGTGGGTATATTCTGGAGAACAGGAAAGTAAAAGAAGAAAGGGGGAAGGCTGAAGGAGGTGAAGACTATGACTACTAAGCTGTATACCTACAGAATTCTGGTCTGGGTTGTCTTTCTGGGATAATATTTTAGCGTGTTCAAGTAAATTCCTTATTTGTTCATACTTTATTTATTATTGCAAATGTTCTAGCTATTAACCTGGGGTTTATTGCTAGAATTTAAATGCTATAGTTGAAAATATTTAAGAATACTATGTATATCCTTAACTTTTACTAAGACACCAAGAAGTTTAAGTAATTTTATACTTTGTAAATTAAATTGTGGTTTTTCTTATAGGTAATGTTTAGATTATTTAGAAATTAAAACATAAAAATATTGCCTGAAAAATTATATGAGATAACTAGTTCTGGGTAGAGAAATATGTTTTTACAAAACTTCTATGTTTTGATGAGATATACAGGTTTTTTTTTTTTCTTCCAGTATTTGTAGTTTCCAGTTAAGGGTGTGAGTTTGTTTAGTGCTGTCCAAATAGCACTTTCTATGATGGTGGAAATGTTCAGTATCTGTACTGTTTTGTTAGGTAACCACTAGGCATGGGGGACTGAGGACTTGAAATATGGTGGTTCTGAGGAACTGAATTATAGATTTTATGTTGAAGTGGCTTAGTGCAGTGGTTCTTCAGCCAGTGATTCTTATGTCCCTTAGGAGCAGTTATTAATATCAAGTCATTTTTGTTGTCTCATCTGAGGAGGGACTGTTGCATTTACTAGATGGGAGGCATAGAGGCGTCTAGCTACTTCAGGGATATAGAATAACCTCCTAGTTCCTCAAAGAGTGAATTATCTTATAGGCTGGGGATACAGCTCAGTGGTAGAATGCTTACCTTGTAGGCAGAAAGCCTGGGTTTCATTTCCATGCTAAACAGACAAAACAAAAACCAAAAAACACCAGAACAGAATATACAGATTTATTAATCATTGTGTTTATAAATATTGCCTTTTACTATTGAGATTAAAAGACTGAGGTTCAATTCCCAACACTCACATGACAGCTCACAACTGTCTGTAATTCCAGTTTTAGAGGATCCAACATGCTCACACAGACATTCATGCAGGTCAAACACCAATACACATAAAATAAAAATAAAATTATTTTTAAAAAAAACTTAAATTATTTACTTATTGATTTAGTGTATGTGCAAGTCAGATGCCAACTTGTAAGAATTGGTTCTCTCCTTCCACTCTGTGCATTCCTGGATGTCAGACTTGGTGGCAAGTCCTTTATCCATGGCCACCTTGCCAGCCTTGTTTTTGTTATTTTTTTAGTTAGGGACTTAACCATATAGCTGAAGCTGGTGTGCAACTCACTATATAACAAAGGCTTACCTCTTAACTAGAGCAGTCCTCTGCCTTGGCCTACTGGATACTGCTCTTACACATGTAAAAAACTTGGGTTAAAACTTACTCTGCTGTTTCCAGTTTAAGGGATGAATTGTTTTGGAGTCCATTGTGGTTGGAGCTGGATAATATGTCTAGATGTTCTAGGTGCTGTGCTGCCACTCTTCTGTTATGTTTTCTTTT